CTATCGAAAGTCCACAAGTCTTGAACTATATAATTAGAATATTTTTTATTATATAATAACTAAATAAACTAAAATTATTAAGATTTAAATTTTTTTATTAAAAAAACTATTACATATATATCCGATGAATTACTGGATCAATATCTACTAGATTATATCTATTTGTATTGTAATGTCTTTGTTTGATTCAATGATTGATTGTTTTTATTTTATTGATTTATTTATTACCTTCCAGCAGGCCAATATCACAATAATTAGCCGTAAAAAAATGGGCTTACCAACAAACCTATATATTTATTTTGGACTTGAGAAAGAAGGTTAGCTCTAATATATATATATATATAACCTTTTATGTGATCTTTTCTGTCATTTTCTTTTTTCATCTTGAGAAGGAAATTCTTGCGGAACTTTCTGCAAAAAGGATCGTATAATAATATAATGTTTATTTATATTCGTTAAATTAAAATTATCAAATTCAATGGATTGACAAGATGTTAGTGTATTTTTAAACAAAACTCAACTACTTAATAGTTTTTTTTCTTTCATTTAATTTAGATAATTGAATTTAAAATTGATGATAAAATTTGAAACGTGATAAGTTATGAAACGTGAGAAGATTGGAATCCAATTATTTGAGGATTCTTTTCTAACTTAATTGAGAATGTACATGCTTCATAATATACCTAGCAGGTAAAAGAATTTTTCTTCGTTTTTTCAGGTTGAATAGATTAACAATTAAATGGTAAGAATTCACGAATTAGTAGAAAAATTAATGGTAATTACAACACTATCTAATAAAATATACTACCGATTATAATAAAATACACTACCAATTATATAATACAACACAAATATGTATTATCTTATCGACGTATAGTACTCATCGAATATGCATATATAATGTTAGGAAATGAATTAAATAAAAAAATAGAATAAAAAGATACAAACAATCACACAACCAAGGGCGGACCCAAGTTGAACCCTACAGGGGCCTTGGCCCCCTCCAAATTTTGTTGTTTTGGACTGGCCTTAAAAATAATTTGAGCGCATTGCTAGCTGAATCCATATTGGTTGTTCATATGGTTATGCCATACCAATACAAATGACCTAATGACAACTAATGTGAATCTTGTGGGTCTTATTTTTTATTATTCTATTTAAATTTAGTGATTCTTATTATTATTTAACGGTTGAAATCTTTATTAAAATTTAATTTATTTAAAAATTAGTTATCAATTCTCGATTTTTAAATTTAGATTGGAATTTTTTCTAATTATTTTTTATTTGAAATTAAATGTTTATGTTACCTTATTATCATCAATTCTAATGATTTCATTGCCTAAAGCATTAAACTTCATTGATTAAACAAAATGAATATTTCATAACTAAAAAGGCTTAAGGGTATGAAGCCCAAGTTGTAAGAGAATTGTCATTATGCCCTACGTATCTCCTACTCGAAATAGTTCAATATGAAGTCGGTTTAAAACCTAATTGCTAATTTTTATATTCTATATAATTCCTTAAATATTAAAAAACAAAAATTACTAAATTACATGAAAATTTAAAATACAAAAACTAAATAATTCGGTTTTGGAACAAGAAGAACTAATTAATCCATTAAAAAAAAAACTAGATGGACTAACTTATAATTTACTCAAGATTACTATTACTACTATATCTTATTTGTGTCAATGGGTTATGAAGATAAGAAAATTTGAACGTTATCCACTTGTGTATAGAGTGATAATACATATTCTTACTCTTTCGGCTTCTACGGCTATCATGGAGCGATCATTTTCGATTATGAACATAATTTCATAATAAGATGAAAGATGATTTTATTTTCGATTATTTGTTAGTGTATATTGAAAAAAAATTTGCTAAAAATTTTAGTATAAATTCGTTTATAGATTATTTTCGTGACTTAAAAGAACGAAGATCTCTATTTTGATTGATTGTATTTTAAAACTATTTTAAAATATAAGTTAATATATTTTTATAATATATATAAGTTTGTGTAAAACATGATAAATTATAAACATTTATTTTAGCCCTCGTAGACATTTGATTTTGCATTCGTCATCTGCACAACACAAAAAATTTATGTGATTCAACAATTATATTTATTTCACGACTACGCTTAAAATCATTATTATGAATTTTCAATAAACGACTTATAAATATAAAAAATATTATCTCTATTTATAATCTAAATAACTAGAATTATAATAAAAAAATATTTTACGAAAGCGGTATGCTTTAGTGCTCTAAATTGCACACTTCATCCATCATCGTTCTCAACAATTTAATCTACAATTCATGGAGTGTTATTATGACAAGTGCCCCTTCATATATGTATTTTGTTGAACGGCAATAATTATATGGTCCCTCGCTTGTCAATCCTCCTAAGTCACATTTATTCAGTTTTCGATCCAGAATCATTGTATTAATTTTTTATTTCGAAAAAAAATCTCAATCATGCATCTTCTTTATTAACTTTTCAGTTGTTTAATTGGCCCACTGCTTATATATCTGTACCAAAGATTCGATAAGAGCTCATAACATGATTTTCAAGCGGAAGCTGCCAATGGGATTTGACGATCCAACTCGATTATATCAGTGATAATAATTGTGTCCCCTTAAAAAAATTCAATTTTATTTTAAGTCTCCAGAATGATAATATTTAGAGGATTGTTTGGTGGATTTATGGTTGACATGGTTGATGTGCATACCAAACCTTCCCATTGCGATCTCATCCTCCGTTCTTTGTTTGTGGTTGTTTTTGCCTACACCGTACAGCACCTATCACCTGGCACATGCATTGTACTTTTAATTCATTAAACCAAACAAGATCGGCTTTTTTAAAATTAAATGTGGTTTTTGAAGATTTATAAATAATTAATTAGATGCTCCTTGTAAAAACAGAGAGCCTGATCCTGAGAATATATGTTATTAAAATTAATTGGCAATGGCAGTACGTTGCTGACAAACAAATAAAAGGAAACACAACGAAACCATGTTGTTTTTTTAGAATAAAACCATGTGTAGGGAGAATAACCTTTAAAATGTGAATCTAATAATCTATATCGTGGTCATGTTTCTATAAATGTCAAAATTGCATTAAAAACCAAAAAAATGGTTAGTAAAAGGAAAATAACATGCGGTAAATTACAATAACCCCATCTTAAACTTTACAAAAGGAAAATACAAGAACCAAAAAGGGTATATATATATCGGTGAAATGTAGAGACAAAAGAAACGAAAATTCGTAGGTAAGAGGGCGGTAGGTCCACAAAAATTTGTATCCTTCCCCTATCCAATGAAAAATAACAAAAAAAAAAAAAAAAAAAAAAATTCTATTATGCTATTATGCTTCATAGAAGCATAATTGACTGGCAGAGAAATACATACACACCTCCACCCCCTTCACACGAAAGAAGATGGACAGAGAGACATAAAAATATATTTATTTCTACAAATTTATTAAAATACTATAGTGGTTCGAATATCGATTTAATATATATATAATTTGATTATTTTTTTATTCAATATAATTTTTTTTATTAAAGATGTAATTTTTCTTTTATCATGAAAATTTAATTCTTATATTGAATTCCTAGAAATAAAAAATGAATTCATATATTTTTTGATTCTCTAAAGTATTACAAATGTAAAAACTTAAATTAATCATTAATTATTTTATTAAATGTATAAGACGAGGATAATTATTTAAAAATTTTTTTACATACATAATAACTTGAATCTAAAATTATTTATTTACTCTACTAGAATTTCTTTCGGTCAAACTAAATCTCTTGATTAATGAATTCATATATCATAGGAACTATCTTCAATAGAACCCAAATAGTGATAGTGCATGCAAGAAGGTAAATCCAATAACAATAATTAAAAAAATAGAGAAAAGGGAAAAGAGAAAGTAAAGAAACGAAGTTGACAGTGTCAGTGGCTTTCCATCTCTCAGTGTGTGCGTATATATATATGAGAGTAGATGCCCCCGTTACTGGTCAACAGAGCGTGTTATTTGAAAGAAACGGAATCGAAGGGCGTAGTGGCATGGTAAGCTTTGCCACTCTTTCCTCTTTATTTATAAAACAACTAACCACCTGTCTTCTCCTCTCTCTCTCCTCTCCTCTCTCCTCTCGTCTCTTCATTCTTCTGGAAAAACTGCAACAAGTTTTAACGAATTTTAATTATTTTGTTTGATTCCTGCTTCTTCCTCCTCCTCCATGCGTCTCAATTCTTCTTCCCATCCTTTATGTATGTAGACAGACACCGCTCCGAGCTCTCTCCTCTGTTATCTAATTTAATATTTGGAAGTGGAACTGTCAATTATTATTTTTTTTTCCAGTTACGACGTTATATTATACTGTTTGTAAAATAATGATTCCTTTTGTTCGATTGTTTTGAATTACTAAGGTTTTATTGTTTTGTCGTCTTCAGTTTCTCTTTTCACTGTTAGAATTACCGTTTCAATTATGTACCAAACACAATAATGGAGTAGCATTTATTTTGATATTGAATTTTGCAGAGCTAGAGCAAGAGAAGAGAAGAGAACCTGCAGCAAAGAAGGAGACACGTCGCCTCTCTTTATCTCCAGTCTTCAATATTTACATTGCCTTTTTTTTTTCCAGTTCCATAATTCTGATTTGTAAGTCTCTTCTTTCTCTCATTTTTTTTTCCTTCATATTATTATTATTTTTTTATTAAAAAATATATAAATATTTTGGATTGTTTAATATCTACTTGCGCGTATTTTTTGTCTCCAAATAATACAAGCAGCAAATTCTTTTGATGAATGTGTTTGGGACGTGGTGCTTTATTCATTACCTAACAACTAGTTTAAATGATTATAAGATTGTTTTATCGCCGGTGAAATAGGCGAAGGATTGTCTGCGAATTCAAGAAGAGTCGGTGAATGAGCGACGCGATTGGCTTCGTTCAACGGGATAACAGAGACCATGAAGAGATTTTTATCAGCTATGGTCGCCGTGGGAAATCAGGCGGGAGGACAGTCACTACTTGGCACCATCAAAATTGCTGTTCTGCCGATAGCCAAAGTTTTTACCATGTGCTTCTTGGGATTTCTTATGGCCTCCAAGTATGTTAACATCTTGCCGGCTAGTGGAAGGAAACTCTTAAATGGGGTAATTTAAACCAACTTTAGTTTAATTCTATTCATTCATTGATAAAGTGGTGTTTTAGTTAATAAAGTACTAATTGGTTGTTTTAATCATGTTGTTATATATGCAGTTGGTTTTTTCACTTTTGCTACCATGTTTGATATTTTCCCAACTTGGCCAAGCTGTCACTTTACAGAAAATGTTGGAGTGGTAATTGACTAATTGTTGCTTTGTATTTCTTTTTTCTTTTCCTATATCTGCAAAATGGTAATAGGTTTTTTTGTTAATGAAGCTGTCTGTTCTATTGCAGGTGGTTTATTCCTGTGAATGTTGTTCTTGGCTCCATATCTGGTTCAATAATAGGTTTTATTGTTGCATCCATTGTCCGGCCACCTTACCCATTCTTCAAGTTTTCAATTATACAAATCGGGATTGGTGAGCCACTTCCTTTTCTAAATTTTAGTATTGAATATATGCTCATTATTTTGTCTGCTACTTGGGCTGTAAAATGCATCTGCAAGCTACATAAACAAATGTGTAAATTATGCAGTAATATATTGAAAATCTGGGCATTTTAAATTTCTGCATATTCTAAATTCCAGTCTATTTATATTTGTACTTAGTGTGCTGGTGTTCATGCTTTTCAAACCATGGTTTATAACCGTGAAATACATCCTTTGATGCAGGGAATATTGGAAATGTGCCACTTGTCTTGATTGCAGCTTTATGTAGAGATACGTCCAACCCTTTTGGTGACTCAGAAAAATGTAGCACAGATGGGACTGCCTACATCTCATTTGGCCAGTGGGTGAGTCTCAAGCATCTGTTAGTCTATTGTTATTGCTTGTACTTGACGATTGGAGTTCCATAACTGTATGGTACTTTGGTTGTTAATGAATTAACATGCATGCACTCTTCCCCTTATATGTATATATCCTTTGGGATAAATACGGTTTTCTTGCTGAAATGAGTTTGGGGTTTCTCTCATTACAAGCTCATACATTCTGTGATTGTTTACACTCTCTGTTGAATATCACCCAACAAACTTGAAGCTAAAAATTCAGGGAAGATATTTTTTTGCTGTTAAACACGTCTTTCATTTCCATAAAATCGATTGGTTAAGCTCTGTTTGATGCATGCCAGGTTGGTGCAATCATTTTGTATACGTATGTATTTAACATGTTGGCACCTCCACCGGAAGGTACCTTTGATCTTGAGGATGTAAATCTTCCCATCAAGAACACAGCAAAAGACGCTCCCCCTGAGCAAGTCCCTTTGCTTACCCAGGAGGAGGCACCAGCAGAATTGGATGCTCCAAAGAGAGGGAAGGTAAGAATCAAGTTGTGTATGCATGTTATGAATATTAGATAAATAGCTGGCAATCAATCTTCCAAATTATTATTATCTCATGGATAAATAACTTGACATGCTGTGACAATGGTATCTACAATTTGGTGTCAATTGATTGCAATCTGCTCTAGGTTTCTAGGTTTTGAGCTAGGAAATGGTACTAAGATGAATGTCAACTCACAAATCATCTCAACATTAAATGTCATTGTTATTGGTATTTGTGAGAGATCTTTAACTGATTTTTAAAGTGGGTTTAAGGCCAATATAACCACTTTTGTCAACATTGATGATCAGAGCTCTTGGTACTTGTGAGAGATTTCACTAAGCTGCGACCCAACACCATAGATCTTTTGAAGAAAACACAAAAACAATCTTGTTCCTAACTGACTTAATGGTGGCGTTTTATCATAGCGAGATTTCCTCTGCATAGACTTAGGTTTCATTATCTGTTGCTTTTTGCAGATTAAACAATTTCTTGTCTTTCTCTACCACAAGTTGAAGCTTAAGCAAATTCTTCAGCCCCCTATCATTGCTTCTGTAAGTTCACCCTTTTCTTTGACCTTTTGTTTTGGTATATTTTTTATGAACTCTAAAGTGATGCTGTAAAGCTGTAATATGAGATTCCGGATACCTAATAGAATTGCAAAATCTGTTCTTTGACTTTTAAGAATACTGGTGCAAAACTAAGCTGGCACTTGGTTTCATAGAATATTGTGTTGAAGCATCTTATAAGACTGGAAAAAGAACTAAGCCCAAACATGGCTGTGTTAATATCTTTTTTCCTCCACTTGTTGGCACTATGATAGGCCAAATGATGCAGAGTACCACCCCCTTAATAAGTCACCATCCTTTCTGTTCAATGGGCAAAGTTCCAAGCTTACACATTTTAACTCAATTGTTATTGTGGATGTCAGCTGGCTTAGTAAAGTTACTTGGTTCTTATCAAAAGCCTTAGATTTACTTCAACGTCCAGCAGAGTGCAGTATTAAAAAAAAAAAAAAACAACAGAGAAAGAACTTTTTATTATTTTCCCTCTTTCAACTTCCTTTTAATTAGTATGCACATGTTTTCTGCAGATCCTAGCTATGTTCCTTGGTGCAGTACCATTCTTGAAGCGATTGATCTTTACAACCGATGCTCCACTTTTCTTTTTCACTGACAGCTGCATTATTCTCGGGTATGCTTGCCTCGTACACCAAAGCATCTCTTATTATATTTGGTTGCTCATTTTTCTGATTCGCAAGTATATTGGAACATGTCAAGTTGGCTGCCTCTGCAGACCACTCTCTGACAAGTTTCTATACAAAGGAGGATAAAGGAAGAACAACAGTTCTTCTTGTTATGTGAATTAAGTTCATATAGGGAGTTGGTGAATCAATATAATTTTAATTTAGCATGTAACTAGTGAGAGTTTGAAAGCTCTTTTGAGGTTTGTTGCACCTGGGATTTAAAAGATTTGCCTATGCAAATAACTTAGTGATGCAACAACTAGAAAATGGAACTACCATTGATACTCAACTTTTCTGATAAATAGGATCAATTTTTTGCTATTCTAACTGGCATGAGCAGCAAATTGGATCTTCTTGGAACTGAAAGGCTTATGTAATTTAGTTATGCGGATTCATTCTGAACAGCATGTGTAATATTCAATACATGTAAACTCCACAAACAGGGTGGAGTTACCTTACTATCCTTGCAAATTTGACAGAAATAAAACCATCTTGAACGAACTTGCTTCTGTACCTTCTGAAACCGAAGCTTGAATGTATGGTGTTTGATTTGATTGCATGATGAAGTTTCATCTATTTGGTTTTTTGCTGATACCTTGTAATGATTCTGGTTTTCAGGGAGGCCATGATTCCATGCATTTTGTTGGCACTAGGAGGCAATCTCGTAGATGGTGAGTTAATGGGAAAAAATTCTTGTTACTTTACTGTGCCATCTCATTCTATATATTCAAAGTAATGGCCTCGTAATTTTGTTGAAAATTTAGATTATCAGCTTAACCCCTTAGCGGATTTCAAATGAAAGCTCTCTGTATCACTGCAGGACCGGGAAGTTCTAAACTTGGTTTTCGGACAACTGCTGCTATTATTTTTGGTCGATTAGTTTTGGTACCTCCCGCTGGACTTGGCATTGTTATGTTGGCTGATAAGCTGGGCTTCCTCCCTGCTGGTGATAAGATGTTCAAATTTGTCCTGCTTCTGCAACATACAATGCCTACATCTGTTCTTTCTGGTAAGATTGTCTTTTCCTTTCCAGGAAATACACCTATGCATTTTTCAATAGAAAAGCTAACTTTCAAGCAATCAGAAAATTAGCATCTTGTAATCAATCTTATTGTCGGGGACAGTATTTCGCATTGCCTTTATTGAAACTATTAGTGATATGCAAGGGGAAAAAAAAAAAAGGCAGTTAATATTTTTGTGTTCTGGTATATGAAGACTATATTTAACCGGGGTTAGGAAATTGGGCAAAGGTAAAATATGGAAGATTCTTTCCTTCAAATGTCAAACAGCTAAGTAATTCATTTGAAAGCAGGGATTAGAAATCAATGTTATTATTGTTGGGTTGATATTGGAGGCTAGGATCTCTTTACTTAATTAGTTCCCTGTTTGTAGGCGCTGTGGCCAATCTAAGAGGTTGTGGAAGAGAAGCTGCTGCTGTTCTATTTTGGGTTCATATTTTTGCAATTTTCTCAATGGCTGGATGGATCGTCCTTTATCTTAACTTACTCTTCTGAAACTGCTGCATCAATCATTGCTGACATGGACCTATCTTCAGTGCAGTTTATTTTACTTGCAACTGATGTCAATGTCAATAGTCAAGTAGATTAGCCAAAACTCGAAATAATTATTCTTGTTTATTTTTTTTTTCGTGGGTGGGGGTTACAAAATAGAGGCTCGAGCCCGAAACCTCTTGAAGGGAGGGGGACATTGGTGCCAGTTGAGCTACAAGCTTAATGGGGATGTTATGTTATGTTATGCATGGCCTGTATTTATAAGAGCTGCGGGAAGGTGCTCCAGAATTTTTATCAACTTCAATATGATTCCGTTGTTTATCCATCAGCTGCCATCATTTTATTGTTGCTTTTTTTGGTTCATTTTTATTGCATTTCCATTCCTGTCAAGTATTCAGATATGAAAGCCACAGCATTGTAAAGCCACAACATGTACGACGATGAGACTGGATATGCAGTCCGGTCATGAAACGCTGGTAATCAAGTTGTGTGAACTTATGGATATCCTTCTTGAAATTTATGGGATTACTATTACTATCATTGACAAGCATCCATGAGTTATGTCGAAAAAGAGTATTTGTTCTAGCTTATATTGCAACTTTGCTTGTATCAGGTTTATGTAATAATCAAAATAACAATTTAGTTGGTTACTTTCGTTTGACAACTTCTTGTAGAACTAAGAGGTAAAACCCAATCACTTACAAGTTACAAATAGTTCGAAGCAGAAACTTATCTCAGTATGCATTAAACTATTCAAAACAGTTGAACTATAGAACAGATCGATGCTCGGGTTTTCTGGAACAAGAACGCTTAGCAGGTCGGGTTAATTTTCACCCCCATCCTTCCATGCCAACGAAAATGAAAATTTTGAGAAATGAAACATAGGTGAAGGAGATTCAATCAGAAGCAAGTGTAGTTGCGTGAGGCCCTCGTTTTGGATTTTTGAGTCATAAATTCGAGTCATTAATGGATCGAATGGCATAATATGTTCCCAATCAGCAACTAAAAACGATCAAATCATCACCGGACTATTAGAAACTTGACCGATTTCAGTGTCCTGCATCACAGAAAAAGAGATCAAATCCTCATCGGATGAACTTTCAGAAACCTAACCAATTCCACTACCCATTCGTCAATATTTGAGGTGAGATGAGATTTTCCCACCAAATATTAGATACATTCAAGATAAGTGAAAGAAACTATAAACGTATGCACATCACTTTAAAATCAATCAACGCAGAGATACTCTGATATGAGTATCTTTCGTGCTAAACAGCTTCAATCAGCACCAAAAACCGTCAGCATGACTTAGTTCAACGAAATCTCCTCAAAAAAAGACCACCATCTTCTCCTCCCATTACCCCGTTGGTTGGGGTGGGAAGAGCCAGAAACTTGAATCCGACGCAGGCCTCTCTCATGTAAGTTGCAATGACTATTTGCTCGTCTTCGTTGAGGATTGCCCCACCACATCACAAGGACAATACCCAAAAGGCTAACAAGGGGAGCAGCCGCAAGCAAAAACCATCTCCTTCTACTGCCCTCTCCGCCAGAGCTGCTTAAGAGCGGACCCACATCTAGGAGTTCCCTGCTGCGTTGACCATGTTCAAGAGGTTCATCTGAGACATCAGAGGAACTGTCCTCACTAACTTCCTGCTGCTGAATACCATGGATCTCCGTTCTGGTACCAGCGTTTCGTTTACCCTCCTCATAGTCTTGGTCATCAGTTGGAAATTCATACCTACAGAGAGGGCATGAATTTCGCGCACTCAGCCATGGCAATATGCAGGAAGGGTGGTATAGGTGAAGGCAGGGAAGCTGGTTAACTTCAGTGCCAATTGGCAAAAGATCCTTGCAGATTGCACAAACTAAACCATCATGCTTCTCATGTTCCTCATTGATGATTATACATGGTAGATTGTTCACAAATGACAGAGCTGCAGGAGGTGCTCCTCTCCTTCCAATTTCAGAATGAGCAAGAGCTTCAAGCAAATCCCCAAAGCCTGTTGCATAATCTCCCAACTCAGAATTCCCTATATGTTGTGGTAATTCTGATTCTTCCAAGTTAGTGAAGAAGTCATGGTTATGGGCTTGTCTAATTTGTCTGGTTCTCCAGCGACTCAGGTCCTCAAATTCCGGTGAATGAAACTGCCTGCGCCAACTAACAGGGCCATTACCTTCAATAGGACCTGAAATAAACAAATTATGAAGACGAGCTCCAGCTTCTATGGATTCATTTGTGTCTTCCTCAATATCAGCCTCTTCCCATTCACCGTCTTCTTCATCCTCTTCCTCTTCCAGGTCATCAGAGTTCCATTGGTGGAGACCAGCATGCATTGGATCGATGTCAGTATCACTGTCAAAATTGCTTCCCTCATCTGCTTGAATAAACATATCTGTGTCCAGGATACTTTGTCCATCCACAGAAGCATCAGAGTCCCCCCATTAGCACTAAAAGAAATGCCATCACTCTCACTATGGAAAACTGAGTACCTACTGGATCTGAAATTACTTTCACTCTCCCCGTAAAGAGAATCCACATTATCAAAACCCTCACTTTCAGAATCTGAAAAAGACGCTGCCATCTTCTAGAACTACTTGGAGTCGTGTGAGAGCTCATACGCTGTAACAACCTAGCAGAACTATCACCATCTATAGATCGATCTTCATTTCCATAGAAAGTGGACTGGTTTTGCCTAGCCAAATTAATCACCTGAGAAAATTGTTGTGAGAAATGGTTGTCAATCGAGTCAGAGCTGCTGTACCTGGTTCTTCTTCCTCTGTGAGGCCTCCTCCGATGAGAGTCTCGAAAGGGGGTCTCAAGATCTTCAAGCAGCAAAAATTTACAGTCCCCACATATACTGATAGTCTCAAGATCATCATTATCGGGTACTAGAATTCTTCGGCACAGAGCACATACTGCTGAGTTGGTAGAATGGTCAGCTAAAAAACCACCATTAACATGGACATGAGCAGCGGACAGAGGCACATCCTGTGATGTTCTTTGTGAATCCCTATCCATCTGATAGTATACCAAGGAGAAGAAAATTTGTTCGAAAACATGAGATAAGCAGGACCCCAAGTGCAAGTTAGTAGTTAAAAAAAGATGTTTATTTTAATATCATAACATGCTAGCAATTTTTTGGATAGATATTTCACCAATGAAAACTTTGAGGTTAGGAATTTTCCTAAGGGTTTCAAGAATTCTAGTTTCTTATAAATTCAGAAAGCGCCCCTATGGATTTCAATATTTTAGCCCACTAGCTGTAAGGTAGCACAGTGGGTTCTAGTTTTTTATGCTTTCCTTCAATTCCCCTTGCTTGTTCTACATCAGCAAGTATGTGCAACAAACACACAAGAATAGATGAATTGATTACCAAAGTAAACATCCACCTAATCCCTCCATGCTAATGTTGATCAAAACCAAATATAAAAGTTCACCTTGAACAAGAAACTAAAACCATGCAGAATTATTTTCCTCGATAGATAATGTTATGTTGGTTTCAAAAAGAGAAGGGGGTAAGCATATTGTTGCCTTGTTGGCCGAATAGTCCTGTAAAACAAAAGATGACCGAGTGCTTTTATGCAGATGACTCCAATGACAACCACCAGTCTCAAAGATAAGGGTGGGATGGGTCCTCGCTTGACTTCCACAAAGTAACCTCTATGCAACAACCACCGCCAGCAGCAAGATAAGATGGGAAGGTTTAGCAAAGTAATTGTTCACAAACTAATTTAAATCTGTTGAACTGAATGAAACTCTATTAGAATGAGCAAATCCCAAGAGGCAATGAGTTGGAACTTTGCGAGCAGGGAGGGCATATGGATTAGAATCTTCAAGTAGTTGCTCATTGAAAACCTAACCTCCAAATCCAATAAGCAAAACCCAAATTCTCTTATCACTTACAAAAGCAAGCATTAAAAAAGGAAAAAAAAGAGTTTTGCAGCAGCGTTTAAACAGTTTAGCTTGATCGTTGTAACCTAAATACAATAGCTAGGCAATGTGGATTTTGGTTGCATAAAAATTGAACTTGTTTCATTTCAATCAAATGAATTACTGCTAGCTAAGCGACACATGCCGCATTCTTTTTTCTTTTACAGTGAATCATCTTTTCCGGTTATCAGTACTGTAGTAAGTAATTCACAGACAAAGAAATAAAGAAAGCAAACTGAAATTATGAGATTAATTGCAAATAGTAATAATAAAAACAATAAATAACTGGGAAATGTTAGAAAAAGAAAAATTGTAAGAAATTACCAGAAAAATCAAGTGGAAAGAAATCGATCTTGACAGCAGCGGTTCCAACTGCAAGAGCTGAAGTAGAACACTTCTTCAAATAAGAATGTGAAAACAACACCAGAGCACAGCAATTATATATATGGGCTAAGAAGTGGCAAAAATGGATCTAAAAAAGAGCTGCAAAAAGATAGGAAGATTTTTATAAGACCCGGAAAGAGAGAGACTTTTTGGTAGAAGGGAAATTCCAGCAAGACAAGACAAGGCAACCACCGCAACTACGAGTAAGCTACAACGAAAATTCCAACAATAATAATAACAAAGGTGTTCGTTTTCTTCTATTTTATTAGGAGCAAATAAATCACTGAGGAAAAAAGAGGACAATTTCCTAGAATTTAGATAGAGAAGGTGAGAGAAAAGAAAAGAAAGAAAAAGACCCAAAGAGGAGAAGAAAGCGAAAGGAGGCGTGTCAAAGACAGCACAGTCTTACATACATTTTCTCTCCCTGTCTCTCTTTCTCTCTTATGCTGATGATGATGTTGTTATTGTTTTTAACCAGGGAGGAGGAGACTTAAAAACAACCAAACTACTCCTGACCTCACCTGACTCGCTGATTTCGAACAACAAACAAATACATGGAAATTAAAGGAATCATTACAATTCAGTCCCTTGATTTTTAGGTATTCAACGATTCAGTTCCCAATGTACGGATTTTTTTCTAAAACAAGTTCAACCTATCCTTTAAAAAAAAAAATTAGTATCTTCTTACCCAAGAAACAAAATAGTACAATGAATAAAATAAAAAAAATAGAAAAGTTCTCCTCTTTCCTATAAATTCTCTCTTGTCACCGTAAATTATTATGAACACTATAAGTTATATTTTCCTCTCCTCCATAATTTTTATATTGAATTTCATGTTTATGTGAGAGAGCGAAATTTAAAATGGATGTACTAAATAATTCTCATTTTTATCCCTACATATTTATATTTTCCTCTCCTCTTCATATACATATTTCTTGTGGGTTTTAATGAAGGTTTATTGATTTTTAAGGTATTGGATTTTGTTGACCTATAAGGGGGGTTGTATGATTGATTACGATGTCTTACAAGATAGTTATGGGGACAAAATGATAGAGTATGATTAGTTACTTGATTCTTAATTAGAAAACGCCAAACAACTCGATTAAATGAATAAAAATGTTGTGGAGGCAAACAGAGTAGTGCGAAAACAAGATTTACCACCTAGCTAATCGTAGAGAATTAGAAAATTTAAACAAATTGATCCGCATAGATATTTGGGTAAGGGATCGGTTACGTATGGAAAAGATATAACATCACCATCATTCCATTCTACTTAAGGTAGGTTACATTAAATGTGTGCAAAAATAAAAATATGGTTTTATTATACTATGTTTCTATGGCTATTTGAGTGAATTTGTCTTGTTGGGATGAAATGATAGAGTAATTTGGGATTCGAGACTGTTCAAAGGCTAATACCCATACTTAAAAGGAAAAAAATAGGTAGAGATTGGAATTTTAGCAATTTTTTAGCAAATACAAACCTATATCGATTGATAGGTGAGTTTTGAAAGGTTGAGAGTCTATATTGACATGAACGAAACTCACCGATAACTTCACTCATACAAGTGAGAAGCCACCATATATTTTAGATCATGAGTTTAGAAAGCTATCAATAATTTCTTCACATAAGTAGAAAACTACTAACAACTCTATTTCGTTCGAGCAAGGAGCAAATAATTAGTTTAAAATTCAATAGTAACTTTTTCACATAAATGAAAAATAACTAACAACTCTATTTCATATGAACAAAAACCAAGTAAATTGAGTTGGAAGCTATAAGCGAGTTTCAACCATATATGTGGGAGACCACCAGCAGTTCCATTCCGGACAAATAGCAAACAAGCAAATTGATTTAGAAGTCTGTAGGTAGTTTCCTAGTAAAAAGTTATCGACAACTTCAATTTAAATGGATATGAATCAAATAAACTAGTTTGGAAGCTATAGGTAGCTTTGATCGCATAAGTGGGAAGCCATTCACAACTTTGTTTCAAATGAACAGAAAGTCAAGGAATCATCTCAAATATAATCGGACAAAGAATTTGATAATACAATCATCCACAACAAGACATTTTCATCATTTTTATTTATTATTTAAAATAAATCTTTATAGGTTTGAAAGTTATCCAAATGTCGTGATGGTGTTATCAATTCCTTTTGGATCAATTTTACTTCTTTCATTCTCGATAAAGACTCGATTATTTCGATCAATCACGAACTAGAAAGCAATTGTTCTTGAGCCCTTTTTAGTTTTTTTTTGTCCGATTTAAAGTTCCATAACATACATTAATCCTATTTTATCCGATCCAATATTCCGATTCCCATCAACAAATGATAAAAATACATAAATTTTTAATCTAAAATATTATGTTGGTCCCGCCAAATTCAATAATCAACCAATAATTTTTTATATTTTGTTCTCGTTAAAAAATAAATTCAAGTTTCCATTACTACCCACACCAAAACAACACACATTTTGTATTTTTCTTTTTGGTGTGATTCTATTTGAAGCTTCGAGGTTAATTTGCTAGGTGTTTCTTAATTAAAATGATGAAAAAGGAGAGGTTAGATGGAGAGGAGCCCTCGAATGATGTGGATTTTGACTAGTGAGTTGGTCTAATGTAATGAATCTTTTGATCGTAATAAGTCTCCGTTAGAAGTTTCTCGACTAAAATAAGTCTCGTTTATAAGTGGGTTTCAGCTCGAAGAGAGTCTTGATTACTAGAGGAAGAGAGGGATGGTGAGATGGTGCTTCGACTTATATGAAAGAAGAGCTTCGGCTTATGAAAAGAGATAAAATACGAGCTTGTGATGGTTAAGGTTCATGACTTATATGGAGGATGAGGTAAGGAGGATGTTTTGGTGAAGCTTATGGATGAAGGATCATGCATGCTATGGAGATGTGAAATAAAATAAAAAAATTTATCCATCTAAAGTTCTCAAGATCATGTCATTGAATTAATTAATCATACAAACATGAATTAGAGCATAAGTAAAGGATTATCTCTTGTAGTGTAGAATTTAACCTTTACAAAGAAACAATCATCCAAGTATCTAGCCTCTATCGATAATTCACATAGTCCAAGAACCCATACAAGAAACACTCAAAATTAGTAAAGTGGTAGCTTCATCTTTTCCGACTTGTTTAGTGTTTTTACTTTAGAAATATATTCGGAGATATTTTATGACAACCCTAATTTAGAAGGAGAGAGGTAGCGTGTGTGAGGAAAGGAGAAAACTATTTTTCTCTTTATTTTTCTATCTAGTTGTGTAGCCTTAGCTTAATCTTGCTCTTTGTTGTACCTCACCTTATATTTATAGGGGTAGTGTCTTCTTTGTCCTCTAAGGACAAGAAAATGACAAGCAATGAGTCCCTAAAGGACTCTTGGTTGTTGCTTCCTAATCTTCTAAAGATATAGAGTTATTATGCATGTGGGTTTTTGATCTTATCCTTTTAAACATTTATTTTTATCTAATAAGGTTTATGTTTATCGCCTCGCCAAAATATTTTTTAGGCTTTTAAATTAAACCTATTGGCCCATACTATTTCAGCCTAATTAATTACTAATTAATTTAGACTATCCAAATAAATTAGGTTCGATATTTTAGGAGGCTCGTATTAGAAAATAATTTTTTAAATTACCCTTAAACCTAAATTAGGAAACTAATTTTCTTTTTAGGTAACTTACTTCCAAATTTGGAACTAA